TCGCTAATTCAGTCACTAATTATAACTACAATTCACTGCGAAATATATATCACAATAAAAACACACAAACTATTGGTTCACGCATTCAATGAAACACACGATTAATGTATTGTTTTGTTGTTGTTTTTGAATGCAATTTGCGGTCAAATGTAATGACAATTAAAAGCAATTGAAAGCAAATCCTAATGAATGCATAGAAAAGACAACATTTTTCCTCACATTTCTATCAAATCATTGCAAACAAGCGATCAATTGATGGCTGAAATGCCAGACAACGCATGCGTGATGTGTGGACACCGTTTAAATGCCGGTACAGTCTATGCCCGGTATGGCTATCGCACAGGCATTACCTCTGCAATGGCCGAACCCAACACCGCTTTAACCCTACTTTTCGGTCATTTGTGTCACAATTATAACTCATTTTAATGAACATGTGTTTCATTTAATGCTTGTTTTGTTGAGCCGTGTATTGAAATAAACGGATATGCATTGAATGCGCAAAGCGTTGGTTTGTATTAATATTGTTTTTTTGGTGTCACTCTTGGAAACCGTATGAATTAAAATGTGAATAAATTTGTGGCATTTATTTCATTAAAACTTTATATCGATTTCTTACAAACAATTATAAATTTATAATTCATTTCAAACTAATGGGTAGGAAATTATACGCTTAACAGGAAATTTGCATATTTTTCAAACATAGAGTTTTATTATTACAGTATCAACTAAATTAGTGCTGAAGTTATAAAGTTTTTACAGTAATAAATAATTGATATTTAATTTATTGATATTTTGATTAGATATTTAATTTTGGTTATTAAAAGTTACATTAATGTGCATGGTCATATATTAGGTAAGTGTAGTTAAAAACTAGTTAAATATCGTGATGATTATGAAAATATATGATGATTACACAAATTTTGGGCAAAGAGACCAAGATTCTTGCCGTAAAAACATAATTGTTATAAAACTTCAAAAAATGTATTAATATTTCAATATTGTTATGAATTACGGTATATTTAAAAGTATTAAAATGTGAACAAATATGAAAATTTTTTAAAAATGTTATAAATTGTGTTAAAATAAAGGCAGTAAAGGTGTTTCAGCGAATCACAGACTGAATCCGAGGGCTTATTATTTGCAATAATTGTAACGAATAGATAATAATCGCAATCAAAACCTATAGAAAATAATTGCATACAAATGTTAGAATTTAAAAAATTATTATTAATTTAATTTGAAAAGACTAACACATGTTAAAAGAGTTGTAGAAAACGAGAATATATTAGCGATAGTGAAGCCAAACGTATTGTCCTGTTTTAGGGACGAGAAATATATGGCCTCTCGATAGACATCTTTGTGTGCGGTTTGGAGTTCGATGTCATCCAAAGAAGACAATACTTTAATTGCTTTCTTGTTAACCATTCCGTGAATTATGCAATTGATTGCAAATCTCAATATATTCTCCATATTAGTGACAAATGTGATCGAGAATATAGTGGACACCTGTCTGTCCATAATTGCATATATTTGAACCAAACAGCCATAGATAGCAATACCGGTGTTAAACAAGTGAACAATACTTATCTGGGAATCGATTTCATTGATTTGATCTCTGATTTGAGCAAAACTTTTGCGCGTATTTGATATATTGGAGACATTCCTGAGATGACCCGTCTTTAAAATTGTATGAATACTCTGTAAATACCATAATGTGTTGATTGATATGAACCACAGTATCACAGCAGGAGTCCAATTGAAGATCTCGAAGTATATTCTCTCCATTAATACCATTAGAATGTTAATTGCATTCAATTTCGATAACAAAATACTTTCAATAAATATTAAAATCAATGAAATAGAAATATGAAGCAATATTATAGCCATCAATATTATTAACTTATTTCTATTTATTGGAAATTTGAGCAAAAATTTTATAGCTTTCGCTCCGTTTAATTGCAAATACAATGAATTGATTAAAAAGACAGCTAATTGTAAGACACGATTGATTATTGAGAGCCACATTAACCATGATTTGTATTTGTCTTTTACGTCAAAAACTGCATCAATTGTTGTCCAGAGATAAGCATTTATAGCGATGCAAATAATTAAAATTAAATTATTTACAAATCCATACAATTTCCACAGTTTACTGATTTTGGATGTATTGGTCTTTGAGCTGATGGTCAGTCCGCCAAATGTGACGCCAAATACACGATAAAAATAAAGCAATAGTTTAACAAAAATTGATGTAAAAGACTGTTCAACGGAACCCAATATGAATTCATTGAATTTAGTCAACTTTTCCTTAGACTCGGGCAGTATTTTTGCCACATTTTTGGACGGAATTTTGACTCGTGTTAAATCAAATGTTGGCATTTTGAACATCAATTCATCATTTTTTATGAGAAACGTCTTTCTTCGGCCATTCATTTGCATTATTGCACATCAAATGCATTTCATTGTGCACTCCATGTATAACATTATTAATTAGCGTTAATTGTATTACACGTCTAAAGTAATCAATTGGAGTTTCATTAAGAGTTGTGTAACAAAAATGCAAATCAAATGAATTGATTGCGGTTTGTATTAACAACAGAGAGAATGAAAAAGACTAATGGATCCAAAATAATATTTCTTACGATTGAAGTAACGGTACATTCAATCCATTTGTTTTATAATACAATTTTTGTATTAACATTATGTGTGTTGAATCGCAACAAGTTATTGATTATTGTATTTTTTTCTCCTTTTTATTAAAATAATAATAGACTTTCTAATGAAATGTGTTTTTAGTCAGAAATGCAGTAATGTTTTTGTACTTATATAATGTTTTTATTATATTAACAATATTTTTATTTTTACATAAATTCAATATGAAATAATTGTATGCAATAAATGACATTTTAATTTTTCCGTTAAAACAGTTTTGGAAATTAATTTTATATTTTATAGATTTCAGATTCAGTGAAACCAAACAAAAATTTATTTTATTCGCGATTACTTTCAAAAACAATTTTAATTGCATTTAATTTGTGGAAGCAATAAATGCATTAATTTTATTTGCAATTAATTACTAATTAATTAAAATCATTAAAAGTGTAAAACTAACTAACAATTCACTACACGTGTAATATATATTTTATTTATTAAATGATATAAACGCCGACCGAATTGTAATTCAATTCATTAATCATTATGTCTTCTCTTAAATATAAGTCAAATTTGTGACCAGAAGTCCGTGAAATCATATTGTTTTTTGAGTTATGAATGATTTGATTTATTATCTGAAATAACTGTTAAACTTGTCTATTAAATCTAATCATGCATTGAATTAAACATTGTTATGATTGATGTTATCTATAATAGTCTACCGTATAGTGAAATCAGATTACATTAAACTTACAATAAAATATTTATGAACAAAAGTTGTAGCATTTCTAATGTAGTGAATCCCATCATTTATGCATATAATACATGTTGTGTACTGTATTTACATTAATACTTTTGGATCAATATAAAGCTGTAAACGCAAAGAGTGCACCAAAACTGAAAGGAATAAAATTAAAATATTGATTAATTTACTTAATATACCATTAATATAGCTTATTATACATATTATGTATCATAACTATTATTATAAATGTATTTGTTTGGCAAAGATTTTATTGTATACTTACAATATATAAGAAACTTTTATTAATAGCAAAGAATTGTGACCCAGATATCGATCCCAATGTTTTATTATCTGCAAAATCCAGTAATGATTTCCACTAAAATAATTAAACAATTTATTAGAAAATAATTACTTGTAATCAGAAATATTTCCAAAAAACATTTTCTTAAAACTTACACTTTTATAGTAGAGATCGTTTAAGTGGTCGACTCTAACAGTTCGTAGGATTTCAAGCGAGTTATTAGCGTTATTTTGCACACAATCGGCAATAAAACAAATTATGCAAATAGTTATCAAATTAATAACCAAATTGTAAACGAAAAGCTTTTCAAACTCTTCAATCGGATCCTTATAACCGATTAAATCGATTACAATAAAAATTCCGCCAAAAATACTGATTAAATGAGTGGATATCGTGAAGAATAGAGCCGGAGATGAAATACAATTAATTTGTTGAACGAGTTCTTGGATTGCAATAAAAGTGAGCCGTAATT